GGCTGGCAAAAAACAAACAATCCTGTGGCCTTCCTTAGGTATCCGAAACTCCATTACCTCACGCCAAATGGCCTCTCCCAGTTGTGCCAATCAGCCACATGGTCTCTCTCTCTGTCCACAAGATCGGACCCAACTACGATAGTTGAACATTTATCAAACGGGCTTCGCCCCTTTGCTAAACACGACCATCGGCTGACCCCCTTGACGTATAGTCGACTTGCGGCTCAGACTTCCAAGAACTTTGCGAGCTAGCAATCATAAGGATCACCCAAGCAAGACATGCTTGACGGCTCAACATCCTCCGTCCACATCCATGGTCTCGGCAAAAGACTCGCCGTACGCCTCGAATGCATCTCTTCCTTGCGAAGACGACCCAAAAGCGCCCTCCAACTCGTTGGTCGTGATCGAGTCGAGAGCCTTCTTAAACTTCTCCAGCTCGTTCTTCAGTCGCTCCCTCTTGCGTGCGGTCGCTTCATCCTCTTCCATCAGGCGGGCAAATACGGTCTCGTCATGACGACCGATGAGACCGAGGTTATTCTCGAGGAAGAAGTCGAGATCCTGGACAATCTTCGGCATCATGCGGGACGTGACCGACAGACAGACCGTGTCGGCGAAGCGGAGAGCGGACAACATGTAGTAACCTCGGACGTAGGCAGCCACCCTCAGCTCCTTATCAAAGGTGTCTGGGCCCATCTTTCCAAGTTCGACGTTATGCTTCCGCTCTTCGTTCATGCGCTGCTCTGGCGTCATGTGGTCCCAATCATGGAACTCGTAGGAATCTCCCGAGAATGCCTGCCAGCGCATAACGTGGCGGTAACGCGTGAGCACCCGACTCTCAGAGCGTTCATAATCTTGAAACGCCTTTTGGTTAACCGTGAAGAGCTGGAATGTCTCCATGTCGTAAATATCCTTGAGAAAAGACATGGCCTCGCTACGGCGCTCTCTCAGAAATTCGTTCATGAGGTTGGTAGACTTCTTGAAGATCAATCGCTTCATCAGGGAACCAAAAGCCTGGCTAAGGGCGTAGTCGACGATTCGTTGAAGAACATTCATAGTCTCTTGCAAGAATGTTTCCATGGGCTGGTTCCAGGCCTTTACGGCTTGCTTGCATAGATCTTCATAGACCTCGTCAGGCACAATACTAGGCATGCCTGCCTTGGTCTTGGCCTTGATGTCTTCGCGAATCTGCGCCAGTGTCCGAAATCCAGCGCCATGGTTAGCATACCGTTGGAACGGCGGGGCCAGAGGCATCGGCTGGGGTGGTCCTCGGCGAGAGGGTGTTGATGGCGCCGGAGCGCTGTCTTCTGTCTTGATGGCAGCCGAGAAGGAGTTACCACTATTGACGGGTGTTGGGCGGGCTCGTTTGGCAGCTGAATGATGTTGACCGTAGCCGCCACGCTTCCTGTTTGAAGGGGTGACAGATGAGCTGTCGTCATCGTCATCAGAGATCTCGAGAACGGGAATGTCGGACTTGTCCTTGAGTATGAACTTGGGCTTCATCTGAAGTATACAGTCGCGGAAGCTGTCCGAAAGAGATCCATAGTTAGAGGAAAACTTTCTGCCACGAAGAGTTTCCTTGACAGTGGAGGAGAACGCCATCAAGCTCTTTCGAACCTCCAGTTCGACATTGTTAGGCAGCTCGGGGAGCGTGCTGAGCTCAGCTTCGATCTCACTCAATCTCGTCTGGACCTTATTCTTGATTGAAGGCAAGCTGGAAACGTCAGTATGTCTTCGAAATATCAGGAATAGACAATTGGAGTAGAAAACCTACTTCTTGGCGAATTCCTTGCCCAACTTCTCGGAGAGAGCGATCTTAAGTTTCTCCACGCCACATCGCTCGCGGAATGGATGGAACTCCTCTGGCCAGCGTTCACTAGCATCTTGGTGAAAGAATCCCTCCTCCCATCTCTGTTGCTCGTCGAGCTTCTGATTCGACGGCCTAGATGTAATGAAGAATTCGTGGCCGATCTTGTGCGCCTCTCCGCGCAACATCGAAAGCCATTGAGTATTGTTGCCTTCAGGAAGAAGATCAGCCTTTGTCATGACTCCGATTGTCCGTTGCTGAGCTTGGAGAACACGAATGATTGACAGAGTCGAGGAGGTCTCAGGATCGACATTCATTGGCACGGCCCAGATGATGAGGGCTTCAGAGTGCGAGATATACTCGCGTGCCAGGTTCTCCACCACCGACACGAGGTACTCATCTTCCTCGCGAGCCGCGTTGCGGAAAATGCCAGGCATGTCGTAGAAAGATAGATCAGGCAGGTCCGGGCCCTTGATCTCCAAGGCGACCGTGTTGGGGCTGAACTTGGCGAGAGTTCTCTCTGCCTCGTCGTCCAACAAGGACTGCTTAGTGATGGCGCCTGATCCAGGAACGTACAGCTCGTGGTTCTGATCATGGTTGAGAATGGCGATCTGAGCCCATTTCAGAACAGTGTCAATGTCCGACTGATCGTAGATGGTCATGAACTCCTTAACCACTCGCGCCTGCTTCACCCACGGCGGAAATGGGTTCTCCGGAGTGACGTCGGCCTTTGTGAGGAAGTGGTTAGGAGGCCGGAAGGCGTAGTCCTGCTGAAGAGAGACGCGGCAGGACCACTGCGGACCGCCACGGTCGCGAGGGCCACTTCGGGAAACGCGAATGTGGACGGGGCATCGAGTACAGACACCCTCGCTGCGAGGGAGGTTGAGACCAGCAAGACCAGACATCAAGCTCGATTTTCCGGCAGACTGATCGCCGACTAGGACGAGCTGAGGAAGTGCGACATCGTGGGAGACGCCAAGCTGCTGTAGTTCACCGAGAGTATCGTTGAAAATCTTCACCTTGGCGCCAATGTCCCGGAAGGAACCATCGAGAAATGAATCGTTCTGCATGGGGATCACGGGCGGATCCATATCTCTGTTTCTAACCTGAAGCAGAACAGGTTCACTTTCGTCGAAAGTTGGGTTCGTAAGTGCACTGCGGACAGTTTGGGGGCCAGTGTAAGCGCCGTGAGGCGCGATAGAAGGCGTGGCTGTACGATGATTAGATGTCGAATTTGAGAAGCTTGGTAAGTAGAAGAAAAAAAATTACTTACGGGCGTCTGATCTCAAGAATGATTGATTGACATCCGCAGGCCCAGCATGGTGGGAGCGGGATTGATTTCTGTTAGCTTCTGGGGAGCCGTTGTAGGTGTTGGTGAGGGAAGGTGTGGGAGAAGTATTCTGATGATTGCCAGGCTCGGGCTTGACGGTATGACCTCTCGACGCTCTTGCCTTTGTCATCTTGATTGAGGTAAGAGGAAAGAGAATGAGAGGAAAGAGAATGAGAGGATTGAGAAGAGGAAAGTTTTTGAGAGCAAAGTAGAGGGTCGATGAGGAATATACCCGCAGGTGGAGGCACCTCAAAGAACGGCGGAGGGTCAATTGACGACCCAACCCAGCTCTAGGCAGCACAGAAAATGAGTGAGAGTGAAAGAAGTGAGTGAGAAGCAAGAGAAAGAGGTAAGAGTGAAAAAAAATAGAATAAAATCGTAAGGTAAGGTAAGGTGAGGTGCTGAAGCTGAAGCTGGATATCAGGCAGGTGAAGGGAAGGAGCTCTGGGGAGCTTGAAAGCTTTAAGAGCTCTTTCCTCGTTTGGGTGACCTGAGCAACCACAAGTCCCGCTCTCCTGGAGCTCTCATTAAAGTGGTTGTTAGTGTTAGGAGGGACATGGGAAGGTGCAGCGGCGTGTCGGATTTTCGCGCTCTAAAAGACGATTTAATCGATTTCAAGTCTCCTCAAGTTTTCTCTAAAATCTAGAAATATATATCCCATATGTTTTCGTATTTCTATCGATGTGATGTTGGTGGTATCTCACAATGTTGCTCGTGAGGCGAGGTAGCCACTATCATGGAATATTGGGAACTGGAGCGAACGAGGTGCATCGTCGGTCTCTCAGCTGGCAGGGATGTCAGGGACCTCAGGGGCGCAAGATTCGAAGAGAATGGCTGGCAGTGGAGCTTGGCCTCGACGATCCCCTGCGAAGGTAGAGAGACGCGACTTGGTACTTTCTCGAGCTGTCCCAGGTGCACAGCTGCCTGCCGAATTTGGCCCAAGATGAGTGCATCTTCACCTGGTCAACCAAGTCACTGCTCACCATTCAGGCACCACATTGTCGCGTGTGCTGCCTGCTTTACACGTCCTCGACACGCTCAGGTACCGACGCGTAAATTGATTTCATGAATGTCAATTGGAGAAGCTTCCTGCAAGGTACCTGCGACCTCTTACATGATTCTAGATTCCACCCCAATCGGTCGACAACGCTGTCTTACCATACTTGCCGTGTCATGCCATGGCATCTGAGAGTTGCAGGTGAATCATCTACGACAGCCTTTCAGTTCCTGGCTTGTTCTTGCAGATGCTGCCTGCCTAATCTTCTGGAGTCGTCCATTGGAAGCAGTTTTATATATCTGGCTTGAATGGTGGGTAAACGACAAAAAGAAATGTTTGGCTTCACAAAGGGACACGAATGAGACGTTGAGCTTGTCGCATGTGTTCCTGGGTCACAGTGAAGGATTGCTTATCGATAGCCTGGAGACCACCTGAGGGGAGGCTCCTTCCTGCCACGCAAGGGAATCCAGTCCACCCCGCAAAGGGTCCTCAGCAGTAAACAGGTACACCTCTACCAGGGTAAAATAGGTGCCTCACAAAGTCTCTCAGTAACACCAAGAAGCCCCCCGCAGCCACATCTAGAAACGACACGAGCCACCTGGTGACCCTCCTCCTATCGTTAGACCCCTGCCAACACATGCATTGCCTGCTCTGAATTTATTCTTGGGACCTCACAAGGTTGGGTGAACACTTTCTAAGGGGTACCCCCTTCTAAAACTCACGAAGCGGTGACGTTGCAAATAGCGTCTTCAATTCCGCACCTCAGCTACCCGACCTGACTTTGTACCGGGTATCTCGACCACTATCTACGCCTTCTTTCCCTTCCCTTTCTCACCATCACAACCTGAGATACCCTTCCCACTCGAACCATGTCGCTGCAAGTCCCCTACCGTGGAAAGGCACCCAGAGAGGGTGCCACCAAGGCTGTCATTCTGGTAAGAGCATCTGTTTTATGGTGTTTTGCGCGTTGCTTTATTGTGCGGCGCGTGCATCCCCAAAATCTCAAAACCCCGCCTTGCTACTCCCCCCTCCCTCACAAAGCTCGTCAAAGCTCATTGTCCTCTGCAAACGGTCGCAAGCTAACCAGAACCTTCAAATCTTCAGGTCGGAGGCCCCTCCAGAGGAACTCGATTCCGTCCACTTTCCCTCGACGTTCCCAAGCCCCTCTTCGAAGTCGCTGGTCACCCCATCATCTGGCACAACTTGGCTGCCATTGAGCGAGTTCCCGGCAAGGAGATCACCGAGGTCCTCATCATCGGCTACTACGACGAGTCCGTCTTCCGCGACTTCATCAAGGACGCCTCCCACGAGTTCCCCAACCTCTCCATCAAGTACCTCCGCGAGTATGAGGCTCTCGGCACTGCAGGCGGTCTCTACCACTTCCGCGATGCTATCCTCAAGGGTCACCCCGAGCGCCTCTTCGTCCTGAACGCCGACGTCTGCTGCTCCTTCCCTCTCCCCGAGATGCTCCAGCTCTTCCACGACAAGAACGCCGAGGCCGTCATTCTGGGTACGCGCGTCTCTAACGAAGCCGCCACCAACTTCGGATGCATCGTCAGCGATGCCCACACCCGCCGTGTGCTCCACTACGTCGAGAAGCCCGAGTCGCAAATCAGCAACCTGATCAACTGTGGTGTCTACCTCTTCTCTACCGACGCCATCTTCCCCTCCATCAAGACCGCCATCAAGCGCCGTACCGATCGTCCCTCGCGCCTCGTCTCCTACCCGAGCTCCGAGAACCTCGAGAACAGCTTCATTATCACCGACGATGACGAGGAGCGCAAGAACGAGGTCATCCGCCTCGAGCAGGATATTCTCGGTGACCTCGCCGACACCAAGCACTTCTTCGTGTATGAGACCAAGGACTTCTGGCGCCAGATCAAGACGGCTGGCTCAGCCGTCCCTGCCAACGCCCTCTACCTGCAGAAGGCCTGGCAGAACGGCTCCAAGGAGCTCGCCCAGCCCAGCGCTAACATCATCCCTCCCGTCTTCATCCACCCGACTGCCACCGTCGACCCCACCGCCAAGCTGGGCCCCAACGTCTCCATTGGACCCCGCGTCCACGTCGGCCCTGGTGCCCGCATCAAGGAGTCCGTCGTCCTCGAGGACTCTGAGATCAAGCACGACTCGTGCGTCCTGTACTCTATCATCGGCTGGGGCAGCCGTGTCGGTGCTTGGGCCCGTGTCGAGGGTACCCCCACCCCTGTCGGCAGCCACACGACGAGCATCATCAAGAACGGCGTCAAGGTCCAGAGCATTACCATTCTCGGAAAGGACTGTGGTGTCGGTGATGAGGTCCGGGTCCAGAACTGTGTGTGCCTGCCCTTCAAGGAGTTGAAGAGAGTGAGTCTACCCCAACTACCATCAGTGTTTTCATATTGCTCACAATCTTATAGGATGTTTCAAACGAGGTCATTATGTAAATCGACAGGTTTGGGATAACGTTGGATGTGGTGGGGGATAACGGACGACGTAATGAAGAAAGGATTTGCATTGGGGTCAGATAGAGCTCCATCACTCTTCATAGATGCATGCGTCTTTGGTCACAAAAAGCACAAGTCGAATTCAGCAATTCAGAGCATTTCAATCTGCCATTTCATCTACTTTACATGTGTGATGAGTCTCGAGGACGTAGGTAGCAACACACGAGTGAATAAGGTAAACCTGTCGGACCAGTGAATGAGTGATTCACTCACCCGGGTTCCTACGATGCCTCAAGACAGTGTCAACCGGGATGCCTCAGGTAGAGCTTCCACAATCACCGCCCATGACCCTTATGAGGAGTGAATCGTGCTCAGCTCTCAACAAATACCGGACCACTTGGTCGAGGGGTAGGGCTGTAGAGGCCCCGGTTACATGGTGAAGACTCCCATCTATTTCGGGGTCCAAGTTCGATTCCTTGACCGGTCCATTCTTTTTCTCTTTTTCTTGATTTTTTCATCCGAAGTCCCGCCCCGTGGCCCTGATATTCACAGTCACGTCCTGATTCATCAACAACAAGCACCGGGCCGTATGGTCGAGGGGTTGGGCTGCAGAGGCCCCGGTTACATGGTGAAGACTCCCATCTATTTCGGGGTCCAAGTTCGATTCCTTGATCGGTCCATTCTTTTTCTCTTTTTTCTTGATTTTTTCATCCGATATCCCGTCCCCGTGGCCCTGATATTCACGGTCACGCCCTGGTTCGTCAACAACAAGCACCGGGCCACTTGGTCGAGGGGTAGGGCTGTAGAGGCCCCGGTTACATGGTGAAGACTCCCATCTATTTCGGGGTCCAAGTTCGATCCCTTGATCGGTCCATTCTTTTTTCGCCATTTCTCTGATTCTTTTGGAGGGGGTAGCTACATGTGGTCCGTCCGTGGCAACCATCTCTGCCTCACTAGCGATATGAATCAGCGGTATCTGTGAGGGGACATCGCTATTGACCTATGGCTGCCTCGTTCAAAACTACCAGGATATGGATCTTATGAAGCAATCCCGAGCATGCTGTCAAGCTTCATTCTCACACTGACTCCATTTCAAATGGGCCCAAGCCTGTTTCACCGTCACTGTGCCGTGAAACGTTCAATCACAGCTTTCTGGACGGAAACTTCTGGGATTTTGGCTGATTCTTTCGAGCATTGGACGTCTTTTCGACAAGAGTTTCGCCCCTCTCTTCCCTGGTTCCAAGATCCGATTTCATCCATCACCAGACCTTCCCAAATTTCACTCCTACCGCCTTCATACATGTGCTGTGTTCTTTGCCTGATGAACAGCAGCTCAGACAATCATCGCTAGGAAACGCCAGATACTCCGACAGACTTACAATCCAAGGTACCGTTAGACCTCACTTCAGCTCCCTTTACTTGGCTTACACATGACTGGACTTCTTCCCTGATTCGAGGCCCCCGTTTCTTCAGAATCTTTTGGCGGAAGGGGCGTTTTATCATGACAAGCTCATTCTGCCAGATGACGATGATTCAATCATATCTAACCATGCGGCGGCTAATGAAAACTTGTCACTCGGAAGATGCCACATTGACTAAGACAACGTTCTCCGCGTGACTTTCCCAGATTAGCGGGGTGTCGATTATAGAGACCTAGCGTTTACGTAGGCGTACAGCTTTCGCATGCCCGACAGGGTCTAACCTGACGATGATGAGATAGATTCCTCCGGCCACAACGATGTTACTGCTTTGGTCGGCGGATATTTCCATCTCTTGGGTGACGACCGAGGCTCTGCATCTGGGAAGACCCCAACTTGCTGTCTACCTGAGCGAAGAACGCCACTAGCCAAGTAAACTACCTTAGTGACGACACTGGCACTGAGCATGGGCGTATCGATCACGATCCCCCGCTGGAGTACGTATGTAATATGCTCAGTAGTGTTACCACGTGCGGGCACTTGAGAGAGTGAAAATAACCTGAGCAGTGGAAATGAGGAGAAACACATTTCGAGGACTTTTCTCGTGGTATCTAGAATGACTAACAGGTGACGTTTCACAACCTACTATTCGTCCCCAATCATCTGTCATCCGTTGTCCACTGTCCATTCTCCTTATCCGTTCTCTGCTATCATCTGAAAGGCGCTCCTATCCCATCGTGCATTACCCTGCTGTGCTCATTCCACTTTGGCAATAGGAGTGATCAGCCAACTCCCCTGACCTAGAATGGGCCTAGAATGTTGAGCCAGCGGGAGACACACTTGTCAATGGTCCTCATGGCCACGAGGCCGAGGAGGTCGAATTTGAGCCGAAAGACTGTCAGATAACACAAGTGTCAGGGTCAAGATATCGAATGAAAGGGGTGAATGATGAATCAAGGGATCGAATCGACTTCGTACCTCACATCTGCACCTCCTCGAAGCCCCACTGAGCCCACTGCTCATCGTCAACGGTCAACGGGTCTGGACCCTGACCGACATCGGCAAGAACGAGCAGACGAATCCACTCACTCGCCAACTGAACACTGTCAGCTCCGTTGGCAGGCGCTTCCAACTTGCCGCCATACCATCCACGGATCAGGCGTCCTCCGGCTCTCTGGATGGCCGCCTCTGTATTGTCGTGAATAGACTGACGGAAGCTAAAGAGCCTGGAGAGGCTCGCCTTGATCTGAGGGTTGTTCATGATGTGGGGGTAGCGGGCGATAGGGTCGAAAATGATGAGTTCGATTCCGTCGCCATACTGACGAAGCACAATGGCGAAGCCGAGGCGAGGGCAGAGTGCCGACTAGACACTCTGCTGGCTCTGGGCGCCAGGTACATCGTCGACGGAAGGGATGGCACCCCAGGTACGACCAAACCAGGGAGTCGCAAGAGCGATGTAGGTGTTCTTTCCAGCCCGGAAAGCATTGATGGCTTGAATCATAGAGTTCTCGACCGTTAAACAGTTGCTAGACTGGCCTCCAGAGGGATTGTACCATTGACGGCGCTCCATATTGTCCTTGAAGTGTCCGATGGGGACAAGAGCGAGAGTCCACTTGCTGTTGGGCTCGTTCTTCGCAAGAGCAAGCGAGCAGAGGAAGGCGCGGGTCTCAAGGGGCATGGTGGTCTTGTCGGGAAGCGGGGGAGATGCGCCGGGATTCTGAGGGGTCTTGCCGAAGAGGACAGCTCGGAGGTCTGGCTTGGCGAGGAGCGCGATCTCGTGAGGGCTGAAGTGCGAGGGAGGCCAAGCGGGCATGTTTTGTCCCGGTTCGACGATGTCGGTGCCCTGGAGCTGGGCGGTCAGAGCACTCATATCGTTGGGACGGGCGGTAAGAGAGAGTGTCTGCAGGGGCGGAAGAGCCGCGAAGGCGTCCTTGATCGCAATCCAGGCATCGACTGCGGCGGCGAGATCAGTGACATTGTTCTCGCTGTTGGTCTGGGCCTGTCGATTGCGACGGGCGCGAACGTAGACTTCGTCGAGGGCTTTGAGAGCGTCGCCGGTAAGCTCGCCTCTGGTGTTGAGTTCAGTGGCCACGGTTGCGTAGAACGCGGGATGGCCGCGAAGGGTACCGAAGAGGTCAGCGCGATCGACAAGAGTATTAAACACGCGAACGAGACAGGCTCCAGCCTCTCTGTTAAGGGTGGCCATATCGTTCTCGTCCCAAGGCAGCTCGGTTCCGAAAATTGCTGTCAACACGAGGTGGGCGGTCGAATCATGAGAGAGGATCGGTCCGGGAGGGAATTCGAAGCCCCATTGCATGAGGATCTTCTTCGGACCGCTTTTGCCGCTTTTTACCATGGTTGCGCGTGCGTATGATTGGTGCTTGGCTTTTGGTGAATTGATGCTATCGTGAAGTTCTTGGGCCAACGAGGGCAAAGGGATGGTGTAATAGGAAAGAAGACGAAAGGATGGTGGAGCAAAAAAAGTATTCAAAGCTTGGGTGGAGGATATTTTATGGAAAAGTGAAGTGTACCTGCCGTACTTATGGAAGGAAGGAAAGATGAGGCTAGAGGGGCAACCTTGCGTGCGTTCCACCCGAGCAGATTTGAGACGTTCACGTCTATATTGGCCCGACCGATATCTTTTCTCAGGTGTCATTCTATTTGATATGGGGAAGAAGCATGTAATGGGAGTTACACCGTCTTATTCAAAATAATATGACAAGATGATATTATCAAAAACTACGTTTTATCAATTCACTAGCCCACTTACTTCCATTGCTCTTCCTGATCTGTTCATCAGTACGGGTGGGCGACCCGAATAATAAATAACCAGATTGAAAAAAGAGAAAAAGAATGGACCGATCGAGGGTTGAACTTGGACCCCGAAATAGATGGGAGTCTTCACCATGTAACCGGGGCCTCTACAGCCCAAGAACCCCTCGACCATACGGCCCGGTGCTTGTTGTTGAAGAACAAGCAGATGAAGGCGAATATAAGGGCCGCCGAGGGGAGGGGGGGAGGATGGGATGAATTCTGCATATCCGAATGGTCAAGACAACTCAGCGGAAAAAAAAAAAAGCAAAAAGAATGGACCGATCGAGGGTTGAACTTGGACCCCGAAATAGATGGGAGTCTTCACCATGTAACCGGGGCCTCTACAGCCCTACCCCTCGACCAAGTGGTCCGGTGTTTGTTGTTGGAGGGACATCAAAAATCATCGTATATAGACCTCGCTACCTGTCACTTCGTCGCTTCAAGCATTCTGTACTGACTGGCCGCCTTCAATCCCATCCAACCAGCTTTCCTGGCATACTATCGTCATTAAGCGTACTGTGTTGCCAAATCACGATTACCAGGAGCTTATAGCAATGATGAATTCATTCAATTATCCATCCGTCCATCGCGAAAAATCCCAAAAGCCCATCGAGATGGTTCTCGAGTCCTATGTATGCTATTTGTTCTTCAATACACTTGTTGGTTGCTGCTGCGCGCACCGGTGATCAAATTTAGCACCTGGGCGAACGACAAGTGTCCCATTCCGATTAGAACAGAATAAGTCATTTATGGCATTCAGAAGTTGCC